TTTGATTTCACCCTTGCAAGACAGGGAGTCAATCTCCTTGCACATCTAGGTTCTTGACCCCCAGGAAAATGCTTGAAAACTACCGCACACAAATTTTACTTCCATCTTAAGTTCTGAAGAACTTCAAAGGGCCTGAATCATCTCTGAAGCATTAGGATACCAGCCAAGTCCCAAGCTCATCCATGTTGACATCCAAGCAGGCATGTTTGCTCCTCCTGCTCCTCTAGGACTAGTTTGGTAGTCACTGTGTCCTCAGGACACGTCTGTAGTCTTTGTCACATATCTTGGCATCTTTGCCTCTCATCCTTTCTAAATCCTCCTAGGAACACAAATTAGGAATTCTGAGTTCTGAGTCCAGCTGAGAGTGGTGGCAAGCAAACATTGAGGCAAGAGGATCACCTGAATCCACAAGTTCAAAATCATCCTGGGCAACATAGTGAGATATTGTCACACGAAAGAAAAAAAGGAAGAAAAAAGGAAGAAAGGAAGGAAAAAAGAAAGGAAGGAAGCAAGTAAAAAGAAAGACAGATAAATCCTGGGTTCATTTTATTACTTCCATTTAAGAATATGAACAAAAAAAATTAATCCAACATGAAACCAAACCAAAAATCAAGCAGACGAAACTCAGAGAAACAAATGAATTGTTTACCTAAATTGTTCCAGTATAATAAAAACTAAGGAGTCAGAAATTGAGACAAAGACCTAGTAAATCCAAGAAACATCAGAGAGTCCATTGACTGACTCTCTACATGTTTTCCCCAATCTATCAGTCCAGGAAGACCCCCTGGAAGTCTCTCTTCTCTCTTCCTGTCCCTCTCTAGCTGACTTCCTCAGTCCTCCAACAGCTCTACACTAATCCTGGTTCCCAATCGCTGACTCCATCCTTTGATTCAAGGTTGCTTTATTGCACAGTGGAAAGGCCAAGGAACAATTCTCCCACCGCAAACACACTCATTGACAAGCTATTTAATATCTTGAAGTATCATCTTTCTGGGTTAAAACACAGCAGCTTCCCCTGGCCTTAAACACAGAGTGTGGCCATGATGGCTGCCTTTGTCTTTAAAAGCACCTGTTCAGAATTAGTTTAAACTCATTAGCTGAAACCCCCTGACTCATATTAACACCTCCAGTGTCTAGGCTTGTAGAAGGTGGATGCTTGTTGGTGATACATTCCTTTAGGGAGATGGCCTTAGTAACAGGCACTAACTTAGACATGTAACCTTTATCTGATTGTTTTTAAAGCTGCCATCACTGGGAAAACAGTCACTACACAACATCACAAGTTTTTCCTTTTCTTTTTTTCATTTCAGACAGGCTCTCTCATATCCCAAGCTTCGGAATTTGCTGTGTTGCTGTGTATCGGAGGATGACCTTGAACCTCTGATCTCCTGCCCCATCTCCCAAGTGTTGGTTTTACAGGTATGTGCCACCACACCCCATTTTATGCAGTGCTGGTGAGGAACCCCGGCAAACACCCTACCAACTACCACCCCAGCTTGAGAAGGCATGTATTTTGTTGTATGGTATATGTGTGTGTCTCGTGTGTGTGTGTGTGTGTGTGTGTGTGTGTATGTGTGCGCGCACGCATGCGTGTGGAAACCAGGTTGACTCCTTTTATTGACCTTCACTTAGTTTCTTGAGGCAGGGTCTCTCACTGAACATACAGCTCACAGTTTTACCATTTCCACTAGACTAGCTGACCAGTGAGCCTCAGATCTTTCTGCCTCCATACCCCTCCTGGACCCTAGTGCAGGGGTTACAGGGTGTTGGGATTTTCATAGGTGCTTGGAATCTGAACTTAGGTCTTCATACTTGACTTCAGAATTGTTTTTTGTAGTTTTTTTTTCTCTTTGGGCCTATCACCCAGCTCCAAATTAAACACATGGAGCCTTATTACTTACAAATGCTCTGCCTTAGCTTGGGTTGTTTTTAACCAGCTTTTCTTAAATTATCCTACCTTTTGCCTCTGAGCTCTTACCTTTCTCTATTCTATATACCTTTTTTTCTTCTTACTCTGTCGCTGGTTGTGTGGTTTGATGGCTAGTCCCTGGCATCCTCTCTCCTTTTTTTTTTTTTCAAGACAGGGTTTCTCTGTATTTCTTTGGAAAATGTCCTGTAACTCACTTTGTAGACCAGGCTGGCTTCAAACTCACAGATATCCGCCTGCCTCTGCCTCCTGAGCGCTGGGATTAAAGGCGTGGCTACCACCGCCCGGCTTGTCTCCTCCTTGTTCTTTCCTTCTATTTCTTCTCTGCCTGGCAGTCCCGCCTATCCCTCTCCTGCTTAGTTATTGGCTGTTCAGCTCTTTATTAAACCAGTCAGGTGTTTTGGATAGGGAAAGTAACACATCTTTGCAGAGTTAAGCAAATATCCTACAGCATAAATGAATGTAACATGCCAGGAGGTGGTGGTGCATGCTTTTAATCCCAAACTCTATGAGTTTGAGGCCAGCCTGGTCTACAAAGTGAGTTCCAGGACAGCATGGACTGTTACATAGAGAAATCCTGTCTTGAAAACAAAAAACAAAAAAGTGTAACACATCTTTGACTAATATCCCACAACAACTTTAAAAAAAAGGTTAAGTGGTAAGAGTTCTTTATTCTGGATATGGGTGCATTGTGAGACAGGTGATTCTGAAATATCTTTTACCACTCTTTGAGTAGAAATGCCCTGTGAAATGCAGAGGTTTGGAAATCTAGTAAGGCTCCTTGGTTTTGTACTTTTCACAGATAAGAAACTTTTCCTTTTGTTTCCTCTCAGACTTTCATGGTCGCAGCTCTTAGGTCATTTGAGTTGCATGTGGCATGAGGTAGGAGCTCATCTTGGCTCTTTTGCATGTGGATATCCAATTAGGCAAGCACCTTTTATTTACGGGATCTTTTCTCAGGGAATGAATGATCTTGGTGTCCTGTTGACAGCCAAGTGACCATGACTTTGAAGGTTTATGTGTGGACTCTCCGTAAATGACCTATGCGTTTATCCTCTGGACAGCACCACATTGTCTTGACCACTGGCACTTTGTTTTAAGTTCTGAGGTCAAGAAGAGAGGCCTATGCTTCGTTATTTCTCAGGATCATTATGACCCTTCAGGGTCACCTGCATTTTCCTAAGAACTGTAGGATCTTTGTGCAAGTTTCTGAAAATAGGCAAGAAAAAAATCAAAGAAAACTAGGATTTTGAAAGGTATTGCATCCAGTCTGTAGACTGCTGTGTGGACTATTGCCATTTTAACATTTTATGTACCAATCCATAAATATAGCACTTTACATAGACGGATAGTCCTCAGATTAATGCTGTATTGTTGTGATGCTTATTTTGGTTGTCACCTGGACACACCTTGGAAGAGAGAGCCTCAACTGAAGGGCTGCCTCAAGCATATTGGCCCATGTGTATGTCTGTGGGAGTGTTTTCCTGCTGACTGATGTAGGCTCGGCACACTGCGGCAGGACTGTCCCCAGAAGGTGGGCCTGCAAGCAAGCCAATAAGAAGTGTCCCCCAGGGTCTGTCCTTCAGTTCCTGGCTCAGGGCTCCTGCCTCCAGGTTCCTGGTTTCCTTCAACTGATGGACTGTGACCTGTAAGATGAGATAAGCCCTTTACCCGCCAAGTAGCTTTTGGTAATGGTGTTTATCCCGGTGACAGAAAGCAGACTTGAACACTTAGCTCTCCCGCCCCAACTTATTGACAGTATGAAAACAATACAAATCCAGCACAAACTTACCTTCATGCTGTGAATTAAGAAATCTTTTCATGTGCTAATGATCTGTAATAAGATATTTTTGATGTTGGGCATTGGCAGCCATAGTGAGCCCCAAATCCCAGTTATCCCACACCCATGAGGGTGAAAACACAAAGCCCTACAGTGCCCCATGTTGCTAAGATGAGCTGGTCAGTAGGTTAGGTGTCGTAAATGCATTTTTTAACTTGCAATATTGTCACCTTATGATGAATCTATAGGATTTTGCTTCATTATAAGTCAAGGTACATCTGTATTAAGATCTTCTGAAACATCTTTGAAATATGTTCAGTTTTTATGTATGAAGATTGAACTTTTTAGTTTACTTAATTCCTAAGAATGTTATTCTTTTTGGTGCTATTATAAATGAACTTTTTCTTAATTTCATTTTGCTAGTGCTAGAGACACAATTGATAGAATTATGCATTTTATATCACTTCTTTTTTGTTAAATATTGCAAATATATCAAAATATATTTCGATAAGATGTTTCTTATGGCCTTGCAACTCTCATGTGCCATTTTGTCCCCGTCTTTGGTCTCTGCATCCAAGCAGAGCCGTGTTCTCTCTTCTTCCCCCCCCGCTCCCCCCCCGCCTTTTCTAGCCTTCAAAGCTTTAGTCCTGTTTGTCTGGGACACTAAAACCCTTGAGCATGCTGGTTCCCCCAGCAAGGCATCTCCTCTAATAGCTTAGTGCGTCTATTGTGGACTCAGTGTTGGAGGGTGCCGAAGCTTCAGCCTTGAGGAAGTAGTACCTGGACATCTAAAGGATTTCCCCTGAGGTATCTTTCCAGCTAGGCTAACCACAGTGTGCACCACTGGTTTGTGGTTTGGATGTGTACTTCCCACCACTGCTAATTCAGTGAGATCCTTTAATCCCTGGCTCAACACAAAGATGTAGCGGCGAGGTAGGAGAATGGACTGAGATCAATGCTCGCCTGGGAACTGGAAACGTTTTGACAAAAGTTCTACAGGCAGAGGCAGTTTCCTGCAAACCTCGTGGAAGAGACCGCTTTGACGTCTGACCTGGCTGTGAGGACAGTGAGGACCCCTCGCTGGTCCTCCTGACTTAGGGGAGCTGGGAAAGTTTGCAGCCCCAGAGTTCACGCCTGCGGGTTCCTGATCATGCTGGTGCCAGAAGCCACAGGAGTTTCCGCAACCCAGTAGCCGCGCCTATATGGCCCAGCACAGCGCGTGGAAAGAGGGGTGCGGCCCGGGGCCCCGCCCACATCCCGGGCTGCCCAGGAGCGAGCGAGCGCAGAGAGTGTCAGCCGCCTGCTCCCCGGTGCCACGCCACGCACAGTGAGGAGCCACAGAGCCACGCGATGGCGGTGGCTCCTGGCTGGGCACTGTGCTCCTCACCGCGGCTGCTCATGCTTTTGATGCTGCTGCTGCTTCTGCTGTTGCTGTCGCCCTGCTGGAGCATGGTGGCTCAGGACCCTCGGGCGGCCGCTCTCAGCCTGCACCCGCCCTACTTCAACCTGGCCCAGGCGGCAAGGATCTGGGCCACCGCTACCTGCGGTGAGCGGGGTTCGGAGGTCGTAAAGCCCCGGCCGGAACTTTACTGTAAATTGGTGGGCGGCCCCACCGCACAGGGCAGCGGCCACGCCATCCAGGTATGGTCCCCAGGGGTAGCGGGGATTGGATCGAGAGTGGTGACTGACTCTCTATATGCCAAAGGATGGGTCTTCTTTTCCTCACTTGAGCTAATGATCTCAAGTGTCAGGGACCAGGCTGTTCCAAAGCCAGACTGGCTGGGGAACCTGTAACCTGGGCGCAGGGCTCTTGGTACGCGGGTGCAGAGGTAGCACTGCCTTAGACGCATGCCATCCTAGTTGGGGTGGGCAAAGTTGTGGTCCGGTTCCAACCTGCAGAGGAGAAAGCCCTAGGCTTGGTAGCAAATGCCCATCACCCAGATGGCGCCGGGCCAACCCGGGACTGACCCTGGGCATCAGAGGCAGCTCTCTGCCATACTTTTCGTTTTTGCAATCTTATGCCTAGGAAACTTCGGTAGCATTTCCGGTTATATCTGTAGTACTACTTCACTGTAGTACTACAGATAGTTCATTTCATCTGACTCTCGACCCGCAGTTCCGGGGGCCAGTGAGACCTTCAGGGGGCAGAAGCAGACGCCTCACACTGAACACCTGGTGAAAATGAGGACGGGGGCTGTTGGTGCCGCTTAATCAGCACCTGGCGCCAGCCTCTCACACCCAGGCCTCATCCTGGGCTGGGAGGTGCACAAAGGAGTAGGCTGAGAAACAGAATTTTACCCTAGGGTGGGTGTGAGTGCTTGAATCCAGTCTTAAGTCCAAATCCTCTCCCCGGGAAGTGCTGCTGAAGAGAAGTGTTGCCAGAAGAGGGAGGAATTTTGGAGCTTAGCGTGTCTGGGTTAGTGTGCTAGACAGACAGTCTTGACTGGTATCACCGTCAGCGATAGGTAGTTGAACGTGCCATGTAGTAGATGCGGATTTATCTATAAATTATGCGTATGTGAACATCCTAACATACTGTACATGTCTCACTACATGGAAAGAAAAACTTGAAAGGATAAACAAATGATAGTTTTTTTAAACTATAGTGTAAATATACAAAAAGGGAAACGGAAGATAATGATGATGAAGATACTTTTAATTTTCTGCAACAGATTATCAATTACATTCTGTTTAATTATTTGTTATTGTGGAAAATTAGTCATGCATACAAATGTAATTGTGGAGTTCGTTCAGACACATTTAGTCTGGCACTTGTTGCTCAACAGTTCTAAGCTGGTCTTACAGGTCATAAATCTGAAAGATGTCTGAAAAGGTGGAGGCTCATGCAGAGGACATAGCCCAGTGTAGAGTGCGTGCTTAGCATGCGGGAGGCCTCAGGTTCGATCCCAGTACTAAAACCAAACAGAAAACCAAAAAACAGCACTCTAGGCTGCAAGACGTGGTGGTCTCTACCTGTAATCTCAGCACTGGGGTGCCTGGGGCAGGAGGACTGGGAATCTGAGGTGCACCTAACCTACATGACAAGTTCAAGAGCAACTTGAGCTATCTCGAGGGCACCTGTGTGGAAGAAAATCATTAAACTCTTTATGATGCTGGAACTAGCTTCAGGGTGCATGTGTGCTGCCTCAAGTATGTCCCCTAATGGTGCTCCTAGTCTACTTAGAACACAGACTGAGAGGCCAGAGTGGCCTGAGGTAGTGAGGTCGGCTTGTTCCAGGGTGCCTGAGGTAATGAAGTCCACTTGCCCCAGGGTGCACAGCAGTGGGCGTGGGGCAGAGGTCGGGGTCGTAGCATTTTTGTTGGTTCGCTGTCCTCTCTTAACTCTGCTTTTCTTTTCCTTCCCACTATGGATTGTAAACAGTGTCCTGGGTCAGTTACTGCGGTGTGTGGAAGCCCTGAATTACAGTACTGCATTATAGGACAAAGGAACATACTTTTCACTTCAAAAAAAATGAGGGTAGTGACAGACAGAGGAGCATTACCGAGTCGGTGCTTGTGACGGGTTCCTTGCTGTCTGCACCCACTTGGAACTCACTTGGAAGTTTTTCTCCCAGGAGAAACTTGGCTAGTCATAATTTCCTTTACATGAGACACTCATCATTTTCTGCTAAGGAATCGTGTGTTTTAATGTTTCAGATAATCTGCTCAAAAAGCACTGACAGTTTCTTTTGGAAAAACTTAAAATACATTAGAAAAATCTGTTTCCACGTTTAAGTAAATGAAAATATGAAACTTTTAAAGTTAATGAATTTTTGGCTTTGCTGCAAAGAAAGGCATACATTCCAAACATCTGCCTTTCTGGATGTGTTTTCCTCCTTGAGACTTCTTAGAAAAGTGTTTACTTTCCCACACACAGTTGACACGAGCCCCCCACTTTGACAAAATAGAGGGTCTGGTTTTTTTTTTTTTGGTTTTTATGAGACAGGGTTTCTCTGTATTGTTTTGGAGGCTATCTCGAACTCACAGAGATACGCCTGCCTCTGCCTCCCGAGTGCTGGGATTAAAGGCGTGTGCCACCACCGCCCGGCGAGGTCTGCTTTTATTTGTGTGTAAATATCAGGTCACTGTCCAACAGAGTCCTGCAGGCAGCCAGTTGTCACCCCAGAGAGTCAGCAAGTTCGTAATGCATGAGAAAAATCCATGTAATTCTTCCTTCAAAAAGTGTTTTATTGTTGTATATTAATTATACATGACAATGGACTCCAATTTTCACACCTGCCAATCACACCCATACACTGACCACTGTCCTTTCCCTCCCCTTCTCTCCTCCCCCGACCCCTTTCCTAATAGTTCAGCTTCTACTCTCCTGACTTTTGAAACTGAGATTCTGCACATGAGGGAGAACACAGGGCATTTTTTCTTTCTCAGTCTGGCTCATTTTGTTTATGACCCCCAACCATAAAACAGTTTTCATCTCCACTTCATAACTGTAATTTTGGCACTGTTGTGAACGGTAATGTAAACACCTGTGCTTTCTGATGGTTTTAGGCAGCCCCCGTGAAAGGGTCTTTTGGTCTGAGGGGTCACGACCCACAGGTTGAGAACCACTTTCTTCATGCACTCATCTGTTGGTGAACCCCTAGGCTATTCATATCCTGGCTTTGTAAGCCATGTGAAAATTACAGACACGCAGGTATCTCTGTTGTGAGCTGGCTTTGCGTCCTTTGGGTAGGCACCAGGATGTATGGTGTGATTGCACTGTGTAGAAGTTTTGTGTATTCATGTTCTAAGGAACCCCCGTCCTGACTGCCGTAGTGGTTACAGTACTGTATATTCCCACCGGCGCTGTACAAGGACTTTTTGTGAATCCCCACCAGCATATCTTCTACTCTTCGTGGTGCCCATGTTGACTGGGATGAGATGGACTCTCAATGTAGTTTTGATTTGTGTTTGCAGACTAAAGACATCAAACATGTCTTCATGTATTTATTGGCTGTTATGTTGGGGGAAAGTATCTCAGTTTGTCTATTTGTCCTAGCGATCAGTTGTTTTGAACTTCTCTGTGTATCCTGACTCTTAACCCTCTACTAGCTGAATCACTGGTGAAGATTTCCCCCATCCTGTATATGTCTCTTCACTGTGAGTTGTTTCCTGTGGTGTGCAGAAGTCTTTTAATTATATACAATCCCATCATCATGTCTTGCTATTATTGTCTGGCCCATTGGAGTCCCGTTTAGAGTGTCATGGCTTATCTCTGAAAAATCTTTGAGTCATTTTGTATTGATTTTTATCCAGGTGAAAGGTGGGAATCTACTGTTACTTGTCTATATGTCAGTGTCCAGATTTCCCTGCACAGTTGTTGAAGTGGCTAACTTTATTTTCTCCAACGTTTATTTTTGGCATCTGTGTTGAACATCAGATGGCCATAATTACATGGGTGCCTTCGGGGGTCTGTTTCTGTTTTTGTGACAAGTCTGTGAAGTTTTAATTACCATGACTCTGTAGTATAATTTAAAATAGGTATTGCGACATCTCCAGCCTTGCTCTTTTCGATTAGGATTGCTGTAGCTGTTCAGGATGGTTTTGGGCTTTCAATTAGTTTTGTGAAAAAATGTCATTGGGATTTTGACAGGGATCACACTGTATCAGTAGATGACTTTCGGTGACATGGACATCTTAATTGTATTTATTAACCTGGGGCCAGGAGGTTTCGTCAGGAGCTTGCTGACAGAAAGTGGTAGGGATGAAGCATGTGTAGCAGGGTTCTTTAGTGGCAGCTGAGCAGAAGGATGCCCTTTTTTCAGGGAAACACTAGCAAGGAGTGGAGGTTAGCTTCTTGCTCTTCAGCCTCTCTGAGGGAGCTGGGTTTCACCTCAACCTTTGAATCCTGAAATCTATAGAAGGGTAGAGACTGAGATAAAGTTCCCTATAGTGCCCTGTTAGAGCCAGGGCCTGAGGGAATAGAATCCCCTCCTGGCTGGGGCCAGTGTGGCTGAAGGGCTCCTGGTAGTGGCAGAGTTGCAAATGCCAGTTTGGACTGCTTAAGGTGCAGCCACCATATTGAATGTAAAACAGCACGTCTTCTAGTGTCTCCTCAGTCTCTCTCTTCAGTGTTGTATGGTTTTGACTGTAAGAGTCTCTCACCTCTTTGGTTAGGTTTATCCCAAAGACTTTATCAGGCCTTTGTGAATGAGATTATTTTCCTGATCACTTTCTCAGCAGAATTATTGTTGGTATATAAAAAGCTACTGAGTTTTATAAGTTGATTTTGTTGTTGTTGTTTTTGAGACAGGGTTTCTCTGTGTAGCTTTTTAGACCAGGCTGGCCTCGGACTCAAAGATATCTGCCTGCTTGTGTCTCCCAAGTGCTGGGATTAAAGGCGTGTGCCACCACCACCCAGCCTATATGTTGATTTTTTTTATGCTGTTACTTTGGTTAATTTGTTTGTCAGGTCTGGAAGGTTTTTGGTGGGATCTCTAGGACCTTCTAAGTATAGGATCATATCATTTGGAAATAGGAATCCTGTATTTATTTACTTATTCATTTGTCTTACTGCTGTAGCTACATTTTAAGTTATGTATTGAATAAAAGCAACAACAGTGGACATTCTTATATTGTTCCTGATTTTAGAGAAAATTATTTGAGTTTTTTCCTTGATTTGTAGTATTTATTATGTTGAG